CAGGTGTCTCTGTCAGGACACTGTGATATATGTGACTTTTAAATGTGTAGGGTTTGCATTTACATAGCAACTTTTGCATGCAGCACTCAGCTGATCATTTTTCAAATGTTAATTAAGCTTCACAAGCCACCTGTGGGGAAAGACATCAGGTTCATCCTCTTTTTGCAAATGGGGAAAATAATGCACAGAAAGGTTACATGAGTTGCCTAAGGTCACACATTGGTGGCAGAGTTGTGAATAGAATCCAGGAGGCCTGACTACCGGTACATGCTTTAATCACTATAGAAATTCCTTCTTCATGTCAGAAAAAATGTACTGATCTTCTACCATATTTTTAACATGAAATTCTTCAAAGTTGCAAAAAATATAGATTTTTTCCTATCCTTGTCTATATGAAATAACCATAGTCACTTCTCTGGGTACTTCAGTGTTTCCTCATTCAGCCAAAATAAAGTACTGGAATGGGGTTGGAACATTTGTGAACCTCAGATAGGGTTCAAGTTCAAGATAGGTTTACTTACCCAGCCATTTGTAAAGCATTTTGGGAGCTTTCAGGATACAACATACCGTATAAATGTAAGCTATAAAGGAATGACTGCAAGAACACATGTGCTCTGGTAGGTTGCTGACTGCCACAAGTCAAATCCTGCTTGATGTAAATCTCATAGGTGTAACCCCATCTTGGAATTTTTCAGCTTCTGGAACTCTGGACTAGTCTCTAGGGAGACTGGAATACAGGGAGTTGAAGTGACTTGTCCAAGCTCACCCAGCAGGACAATAGTAGAGGCAGGAAAAGACCCCAGGTCTCCAGAGTCCCACTCTAGTGCATGACCCATAAGGCCAGACTACTCCAGAGCAACATTTATGAAAATATGATGACTTTGCCACTCATGCAAAATTCACAGTGTAGGCCAATGTATGGGATTCAGCCATATTGACTAAGGCTTAAATCTTATTGCTTGAATTAAAGATTTAGAAGCGCGGTTTGGTGTAGCAGAGTTAACCAGAGACTGGAAAGAAGGAATTCTCCCTCCGTTTCCAGTCACTATGCACTGGATACTGCATTACTTTAGTCCGTACTAACTACTTCTGCATCTGTCCTCCGAGGTGGGGAGCAGACAATAAAACTGCACCCCTACAACAATACTGTTCCCAGCTGGATCCTTTCTCTGTGGCGGGAACACCACAAAGACCGGCTTCATGGTGCGGAGGCAGTGCAGCCCCTCTGGGTAGGCTCCTCAGCATCTGCCCTAAGCTATGCATGCCCATAATCCCCTCATCACTTCTGACTATCTGAATAGCAGCAGAAGTGGAGGGATTTGCTAGTTAATGCCAATACAGAGACTATAATCACTGGAACTCAATACTCATTAAAACATCCACCCTCTGGTTATTGTCCTACTAGAACAACTGTAAATGGAGCTTCTAGAGCTGTGTGCCCGTGGATTAAGTGCATCTTTGGTTATACATGCATATTTATACAGAGGGGGAACTGAGATAACTGGTAATATATGTGGTTCTCACTATATCATGTAGACTAGGCTAAAACTTGGTTTGTTTGTTTATTTATTTGCAGTGAAATTGTAAAGTTCTGCCCCTTCAGCTTCTAATGTTTCCTGGACCTTTATCTTTTAGATCTCAAAAAGAACAGCAAACCTTAATTAATTAATACAAAATGCTATCCTTAAGACATGAATATATGGGAATATGCACTTGAGGGAAGGAGGAAACGGCTTTATGGAATTCTTCATCCTTCTTGTCCAAAGGACTGTGGTAAATAATGCTCATACCTCACACCAGTGAAGCCTTCAACAGAAGTCATGCATAATATTCACACCACATGAAATCTAGAATGTCAAATTCCAAATACAATGTCCATTTAGTTTTCCCCTTTTTCTTATACTGCAACTGACCCACAGTGTCATCTATGTAAAAGGGAACCTGGAAAACCTTCCACATTATTCTTTAATGTACAGACTATTTTCTGTAGAAAGAGAAATCCAGCAACATAACAATTTTCGTACACTTAGCATGTTTCAGAGTAACATAACATGCTCGTGTTACGTTGGGAACTGAAATGCAACCTATTTGCTTTTTCTCACGCTCCTGCATACTTCAAGCCCTATAATCATACCTCTTTTTGTGCACTTGAAGGCTATTCCTCAGGAAAAAATCTTCTGCAATTTGGATTTGTAGAAGAAAGCAGCTAACTCTGTACAACTTGATCTGGTGAACTGAAGATTATTTCATCTTTTCCCAAGTGTAAACTAAAAAAAATGACACTTCATAATCAAGATTACATTTGTTACTCCTGTGCAGGAAATAATATTTCATTGCTCGTCTAGAGTGTCACCAATAAAAACAAATTCATTATAGCAACCTGGTAGCTGTGCTCTGCCATACAGGACATATAGGCTTTGTTCCCCGCTTCTGACTCTGAAGTGGCAGACCTGCAGCAGCTAGTGACTTCTCTCACATTATTCCATATCCCCTCTGGCAGTTAAAGGTGTGGGGTTGACTAGCTCTGGGGAGGACCATGTGCAGTTATTCTGGGTTGGAAAGGCAATGACAGTGCCATAGCTTGGTAGAAGAGAAGTAGGGAAAAACAAGAGGAATCCTCAGGGGTCTAACAAGGATGCAGAGGCCCCCCATGGGTGTCAACATTGGTGTGGTTTCAAATGGATCAGTAGAGCTGGCTGATTTTTTTTTTTTCACAAAAAATAATTTTACAGAACCAAAAAATGTTCAGTAACAAAATAATGATCAAAACCTGTATTTGAAAACTTCCTCTCCCCACCCCCTGGCCCCCAATTTTGGTTACAGTTATTTTTTGAAAAACCAAAAAAATTCTCTCAGGACATTTTGATAAAAAACAACCAACCAAACAAACAAAAACAACCCCCTCTCCCCGCTCCAAAATCCTGTGAAAAATAAGTGCCATTTTTTTGGTCAGCTGTAATTAACCATGGTTAGAGAGAATCCCCTACCATGTAACTAAGAACAACTTATTTATTCAGATCAAGAGTATTTAAAATACTGATTTACTGTTGCTTGTTGATGTTTATTTTTTTGCATTTCATTTGACAAGTAAAATTAGACCAGTTAGTTTCACTTCGTGCTTCCTATGCATGATCAAAATGTTGCACCTTAATCTAGGTGACAGTGTCTGTTAATCTCGGGGGGACACTTTCCATAGAGTCAGATGTACTCTGTTAGTCTCCTTTCCATTTGAGGAACATCTCCCAACAATATGCAAACATCAGAAGTTGAAATTGCAGGGCTCTTTTAAATTAATGCACATCACCGCCAGACTTTTTGTAACATCTTTTCTATACAAGTAAGCTTCAGAGATATCCCATAGCTACTTTAAACTTAAATAAACTCTGTGTGTGGGAGCCATCTAAGCCTTTCCAACACCTTTCTTCATTAATGTACATAAACCACCATCCTCTTCTCTTCTCCTCCCCCAAGATAATGCCAATAGGGGTCTTTTCCTTAACCCTATAATGAGCAGCTAAGCATATCCACTTGTGGGGTGTGGGGGAGTATTTTGTAATTTTCTATGCATTTTAATTTATTTATTTATTTAAAATCTTTGATTGTGCAGTAGGGTCAAGCTATAGCTCAATTAACATTTTATGCTTTAAAAAAATTGTGCTCAGCAGCACTTTAATCAAAAAAGTGGACATCATTTTTGTAATGGAAAGCTCCCCAACAGCCAATCTGCTGCTTCCAGATGACCAAGGTACAAGAAACAAAAATTTAACACACCTCCGGTGCTACTGGATGGAGCAGACACCTTAGGCAAAATGCACCTCCTGGACAGACTAGATACTCTGTTCTACATAGGTTCTTCTAGCACTCTCATCACCAGACTATCTGAACACCTTACCTTGAACAAAGTGCATCTGCAATGTTTCTGGATAGACTATGCCACAACGTTCATATGGAATTCAACAGGAACACTACTGAAATGGAGCAGTGCATTTCAAGTGGAGGACTAGCAAGCAAAGTAGCCATAAAACAATCTTCTTCCCAGTATTTCAGTATGTCTAATCCAGATCTTTCTTCATCCCCTATTAAAATTCCCTTAGAATATATATTATTTTTCATGTAATTCATTGAAGGATAATGTCTCCAAATATTTTTCTGAGATTATTATAGGACTTTGGGTTTCCCTCTGCAATATACTTATACTTCCTGCACATTGTGATTCAGTGTCACCTCTCTCCAGTTTCTTCTTTAGATTAGACTTTCCGCTGTAATATTCACTTACAACTTTTAGGATTATACATGCTACTTTAGAGCATTTATCCTTTCAGTCATGGCATCACATACATGTAAAGGGGACCAAAAGAAGGTGCAGTTTACAGCAACTTGGACTCATCTGTGAATTTGGCCAAAAGGGTGTGTTAGATTGATTTTTCTTCTGGGTTAATCCACTTCTTTCAAAGCACCTTGATTTCATTTTGCAACGATCAGGAATATGGACTCAGAGATGTATCTTGGGTATCTAAATAAATTTCATATTTACACCTAGGAGAACTTCCAAAGCAATCAAAATGTCTGGCTTTGAAGATTAAAATCAATATTATTAATTTTGACACCCCCCTATGTACAAGTAACATTTCTTTAAAATAAGAACAAAACTTCCACCATTGTCTAGTCAGCCCTTTTGTACCTGAACACTGTCTAGACATCTTCCACAGACTGCGGAATACTTCTTTGAATACAATGGAGATAATTGAAAGTTCCCTTACACTGAGTCATCATAATTTTGCATTAAAAGTCAGGTATTTTTATTATCTAGTACACTGTTATATATATATATATATATATATCCTAAAATAAAAAACAACGCTATTCTTCAGTAATGATCCAAAATACAGCAGTAATACTCTTAAACTGTTGTGTTTTAGACCATCACAGCAGAATACTGTAAAATTTCTAACAAACTTTTAATTTTTTTAAAGCCACACTGAAAATAAGCTGTATCCGAGTACAGAAAAAAACCAACAATATTTTATTTATAATCTTATTTTAGTGTTTGAACTACAAATTCTGGTTCTAGAATTGTTTAAAAGATCATGGGTTTTGTAGATGTTCACAAGTAAATTATTTTCTTAGATTTTTGTTTCTTCTTCCACAGAATGGTCCTCTTGGTAAATACAGAACAGGTCATTACATGAAAAATTTTAAAAAAGGCTTTGCTTTTTTGTTGTTGTTGTTGCTTGTTCCTTGGTTCTCACTTACAAATCTACTGCTAATGCTCCATTCCCTGTAGAACCGTTTCAAGAAGGGTATGAGAAAAGAAAAAATAAAACAGAAAAAAGAGACAAAATCGACTGAATCTCACCACTAGAGTTCACCATAAAAATTCCCAAAGTATGACAGAATTCTTACAAAATTTCCTAGACCAGTTCTTTTAGGGAATCAAGATCTCCTATGAAAAATATGGCAAATGGGGTTGGGGCAGGTAGGGGAGGGAGAAAGGAGGAAGTGGGGTAAATAAGTGCAGCAAAAAGAGGTTTTGAGGAATACACATAATTTTGTCTGCTTTAGATCACAATAGAATTTTTAATAAATAAATTTCTTTTTTTTTGTAAAGACACTTTTTTTTGAAACAGTAGATTTAGCCCAGTCATTTGTGTCATTTGTTTTATAAACCGTCCTTTTTGTATTTCCCCTCCCCCCAATTTTGTAAATATTTTAGATCTGAGTCTCTTGTACATTGTCTTTTGAGTTCATTCGGATCAATAACGGTTCATGCACTGAACTGTGTATTGAATTTATTGTGTTAACTGTTGTTGTGTGGTTGAAAGGAGACTTATAAGAGTTATAATGATTTAGGTGCTCATGCTCTATGGCCGGCATGGACAAGTGACTCTCTATGGGTGTATCACCAGTAAGTTCATCATCCACGTTAATGATCTCTACAGTCCGTGTTGGAGCATGGTGGTTCTGTCGGTGATGCTGTTTCCTCATTTTGTAGAAAATTACCAGCATCACAGCGGCCATGAGAGTGATAGCCACAAAACAACCAATTATGATTTTGGTAGTCTTCATAACCTCGTCTATTCCTGGGATCCCATTGCTTGCATCTGTGACTGGGATGGTAAATGTTTTTTCTGTTGACCTTGTGCTCTGTGGAGTAAGAGAAGTTGTCACATTGGTGGTCTCCCAGTCAATAACTGGCGTGGGCCCAATCTGCTCTGTGGTCCGGGCCTCATCCTGAGAAGGTTCCATAGTCTCTACGGTAACAGTTGAAAAGTATGTGTAACCATTGTCCAGTGCAGTCACGTTCAGTGTGGCAGAAGCTGTGGTATTCCCAATAGAGTTACTCACCATGCAGGTATACAAGCCCGTGTCTTGCACGGTCACCTTTGTAAAATTTAATGTGCCATCACTGAGCACAGCAATCCGAACTCTGTATGCCCCATGCGTCATAACCGATCCATTTGGAGTAATCCAAGATACAGAGGTCAGGGAGGTCGATGCTCGGCATTTCAGTTCTGCAGCCATGCCTTCTGTGACGTTGAGGTCTGCTGGTGGCTCCACTATCACCGGAGCATAACACGTGAAATAATTCAGGTCCAGCTCACCGATGTACCTTCCTTTCAAATTGGGAGGTGTGTTGCAGCGAGCACAGCATGCAGTGTTGGAGGGTGCTTTGTCCTTAATCCACCAGCTGAGCCAAAGAATGTCACAGTTGCAGTTCCAAGGATTGTGGTGCAGGTGGATCCTTTCTAGGTGGAGTGGTGTGAAGAGATCATGAGGCAGTAGTGTTAGGTTGTTGTGCGCCAGGTTGATTTCCACCAGTGACTGAAGGTTATCGAAGGCATTCCTTTCAATCACTTGAATCTGGGACTGTATCATCCACAATTTTTGAAGATGCATTAACCCTTGAAAGGACCCCGGCCTGATGGCTGTCAGATGGTTCCCAGAAAGATCTAACTCATCCAGTTTTACGAGTGGTGTGAGGTTAGGGATCTCTCGAAGGTTGCACATAGCAAGGTTCAAATACCTCAAATTGGAAAGACCTTCAAAAGCACCTTCTGAGATGTATGAAAGCCTTTTTAGTTCCCCCAAATCCAGCCTACGTAGGGAAGGGATTCTGTTAAAAGCATAAGAAGGGATGCTCTCAATAGGGTTGTTTCTCAACCAAAGCTCCTTCAGTTTTGACAGGTATACAAAAGCCCCATTAGGGATGGTGGTAAGACGATTGTCAAAAAGTTCCAGAGTGTTGAGATTGGCCAGACCATTGAAGGCCCCTATTTCAATGGTTCTAATGTGATTCCTACTCAGCTGCAAGATTTCCAGGTGTCTCAAATGTTTGAAACTATTCACCTTAATTATTTGGATCTGGTTCTCATGGAGATTCAATAACCGTGTGTTGGTGGAGATGCCGTCTGGGACTTCTCTCAGATTCTTCCGCACACAGATCACTTTGCTGAACTGGTTGCTGCAGGAGCAGACAGAAGGGCAAGTTTGAGCCCTGACTAGACCAGCCACCACAAGAAGTTGAAGAGCCAGTAGCACCACAAGCAGGGGGTCAAATAGGGCCCTGTTAAACCTAGGACCTATCATTATCTGCTGTGGATGTAAGGTCATCTTGTTCAACATTCATAATTTATTTGGTGTTGGTCCTTCTGGAGTTTGAATTGTCTGAAAGAAAGAAAGGAAGAGGGGAAAAATAACATTAAATTAACTCTAAATATTAAAAGTTACAGTGTTATAGATCAATATATCTCCACACTTTTCAGTGACACTCTACCTATACTATTAGGCACAGATTTTAATGTTTGAAACTCTGAAGGCTCTAACTTGCAATGGAGCTTGGGCCATTCCAGAAACTAGACTCTCAGTCCATACTTCATTTTAGGTTGTAATGTGCAAAACTGGATGACAGATAGCCAGTACCAGCACAACAGTGCTTAGCAGAAAGACTCATCCTTAAGGTACAGAAGGGAAACCCAGAGTATCAGTGACAAGAACCTGAAAAGGCAGTACAGGTAATAATGGTTAGGATAGGAACCCCCAAATTATGCATGGTTTTAAACTTGCTGTGCACATTCTAAATAAAAGAACCATTACAAAGAAACACTGGCAGGTGCAAGCGAAAGTCCCAACTCCCTGTTTTACAATCAGAACTGCATATGTGAACCCTTACACCACTGCAAATGTGACTACAAGACTGGGGTCTTATTGCAAGCAAAGTTTTTACTACTGGATGTAGAAGGTCACAAAAATGCTAGTAAAACATTTTGCTTATTTCAGGAAAGTGGAATAAAAAAACCCCCAGCTTTATGAGAACTGCTGAGCATCAGCTCTCCCCCACCATGAAACAGGATCATTCAATTTCATGATATTTTCTCCTCTATTCTCTGGTTTACCAGCAGAGAAACACTCATTAGTAAATGTGTGCTGAGCACAGAAATAAAGAATAGCTGTTCAAACTAAAAAAAGAAAAAAATCTCGGTAGCTGCAGGGTTGGTAATTTCATTGTTACCTCCAAAAAAATATTCCTTCAGATCTTAGTATAACGGGGGAGAAGACCTTTACACTCTGCAAATGATCATCACCATTCAAAGTATTTCAGTGCTGATTCATTTGTGGTAGTTCTTAAAGCCCCCAGTCCCAGGTACATTTTCAATCTGCTGCTATCTGCAAGGTCCCTCCACTGTAGAGATTAATGAAATTTCCTATAAATCAGCCACAAGTGAAGCCTCATAAATTACAGCAAGCTCAAAGCACATTTACAACCCTGAGCACCCTGATGCATAATACATGCATTCAGCAGAACAAAAAACTATCAGCTAAAGGTTTTTACTTTAAACCTCAAATTGTTTCATTTTGTAATAAAAAGCCATCTCAGTTAAAAAAAATATGTTGTACATCAGAGCAGACCATTTAAAGAAAGACAATTTTTATAATCATATGTTCTGACAATATATATTTATGAATTTAATTATGCATGCTTGGTAGTAATTTGCAACAACATCTCAGAATTACCAAGGGCTTTCTTTTGCACTCTTAAAACTTGACTATCATAGTCCAATGGCTAAAGCACAGGACTGGGAATCAGGAGATCTGGGCTGTATCTATCTGCTTTATCTAGTCTATTTTTGCTATTTATAGACACCAATCACTGTAGTATCTATTGATTAAACTAACACCAGTGTGTTTTGCAACCTCGCATAAGTCACTTGTTTCTCTTTTTCCATGTCCCATTCACTCTCTCTGTCTTAATTTCTTCAACTTTAAAACAAAGCTCTATATTAGCAACCTCAGAGAGAAGTGCTAAGGTTTAATTAACCAGGACCTGATTCTGATCTTTCCTACACTGTGGTAAAAAAAGGAGTGACTCTGATGAAATCAATAGATTACACTAGTGTAAAACTGGTATGACACCAGAATCAGGCCATTATTGTTTATAAGATGAATTGATATTGTTGGATAAATTTTGCCATTGAATTGCACGTTATAATTATTTTTTGGAAACACTGGGCAAAATTTTATTAAGTTTTTATTGTTTGTGTTTTTAGTATTGTGGCTTTTTTTTTTAATTGTCTTATCCCAAAACATCTTGGCTTCAGTAATTAATCACATCAGCAATCAATAAAACAAAGAAACACAGAAACAATTTTTTTTTTCTCAATTGCTTTGGTGCAATTCCATGGACTTCAATGTAGCTGAGAAGAGAACTTGGCCAACTATATTTAACATCAGAGCTCTCAAGGGTCATTATGGATCTGGCATGACATGCAGTCAGGAGCTCCATCATGCATCCACAAAAGCTGTAGGGATAGCTCTGCGGTTACTCTTCGTTCCGTCCCCATCAAAGGCCTACTGTGCAGCAGCTGATCTGCAGGCTGCCAAATGCCTTTTTGTCACTGTTTTTGCTACTCGGGCTCTCTCTCCTCAGTCTTGGGCAGCTTGCAAGAGCAGGGAGGCAGTGACAGTACTACAAGAGGGAGCAGCAAGAGCAAGACAAGGCTGGGGGAGAATACTGGCACTGCCAAGCTTTTTAAATATAGCTAATGTAACGTTAATATTTAAGAAGGGCTCTAGAGGTGATCCCGGCAATTACAGACCGGTAAGTCTAACATCAGTACTGGGCAAATTAGTTGAAACAATAGTAAAGAATAAAATTGTCAGACACATAAAAGAACATAAATTGTTGGGCAAAAGTCAACATGGTTTCTGTAAAGGGAGATCATGTCTTACTAATCTATTAGAGTTCTTTGAAGGGATCAACAAACATGTGGACAAGGGGGATCCAGTGGATATAGTGTACTCGTGGTGTTCCCCAAGGGTCAGTCCTAGGACCAATCCTATTCAACTTATTCATAAATGCTCTGGAGAAAGGGGTAAACGTTGAGGTGGCAAAGTTTGCAGATAATACTAAACTGCTCAAGATAGTTAAGACCAAAGAAGACTGTGAACAACTTCAAAAAGATATCACAAAACTAAGTGATTGGGCAACAAAATGGTAAATGAAATTTAATGTGGATAAATGTAAAGTGATGCACGTTAGAAAAAATAACCCCAACTATACATACAATATGATGGGGGCTAATTTAGCTACAACTAATCAGGAAAGAGATTGTGGATAGTTCTCTGAAGACGTCCACGCAGTGTGCAGCAGCAGTCAAAAAAGCGAACAGGATGTTAGGAATCATTAAAAAGGGGATAGAGAATAAGATGGAGAATATCTTATTGCCCTGATATATATCCATGGTACACCCACATCTTGAATGCTGCATACAGATGTGGTCCCCTCATCTCAAAAAAGATATACTGGCATTAGAAAAGGTTCAGAGAAGGGCAGCTAAAATGATTAGGGGTTTGGAATGGGTCCCATATGAGGAGACATTAAAGAGGCTAGGACTTTTCAGCTTGGAAAAGAGGAGACTAAGGGGGGGTATGATAGAGGTATATAAAATCACGAGTGAAGAAAGTGAATAAGGAAAAGTTATTTACTTGTTCCCATCAGATAAGAACTAGGGGCCACCAAATGAAATTAATGGGTAGCAGGTTTAAAACAAATAAAAGACGTTCTTCTTCACTCAGCGCACAGTCAGCCTGTGGAACTCCTTGCCTGAGGAGTTTGTGAAGGCTAGACTATAACAGGGTTTAAAAGAGAACTGGATAAATTCATGGAGGTTAAGTCCATTAATGGCTATGAGCCAGGATTGGTAAGGAATGGTGTCCCTAGCCTCTGTTTGTTAGAGGGTGGAGATGGATGGCAGGAGAGAGATCACTTGATCATTACCTGTTAGGTTCACTCCCTCTGGGGCACCTGGCATTGGCCACTGTTGGTAGACAGGATACTGAGCTGGATGGACCTTTGATCTGCCCCAGTATGGCCATTCTTATGTTCTTATCCCCACTTTCATATACTCTGCCACTAATTCCCACGCACCCAACTGCCATAGGCATCTTAAATCATGAACCCAGCTGCCCTAGACAAGACCTTCAAGATACAAAAGGCATTTTCCACCAATTCCACCAAATGCTCCCCTAGTCAGCTGTGCCAAGAACACTTTTCCCTTCCTCACCAAAAACCCTGCTCCATGTTCTCCTTTTCACCAAGGCCAGTGGCAAGATCGCCTCCAGCTCCCTCTTCTATCATCCATATAAACATGGTCTGTATGCATGCTTACGGGCTCTCCCATCATCTATTTCAAGTGAATATGGAAGGATAGCCACTGCTCAGGAACTAAGGAATTGGCGACTCTGATTCATAAGAAGCCTCACATGTGGAGCTGCCAAGAACTGCTCAAAGTTTCATTGAATGCAAACCTGCTCAAGGCAGTGTCCAGGCTTGCAGCCATCTTTACCTTTCCCCCTTGGGTCCTGTTGCAAACATATATCATCCACACCCAAGCACCAGGCTCATGTTCTCTGAAAGCACCTTCAGCAATTGCTCTGCACCCTTCAAATATGTACACAATTGCATCACAACCTATATAGTTTGCCCAACTAATTGAGTGCTTTAAATATAATTTTTCAAAGCCAGATACTTTTTGAAAACTGTCCATAATGAAAGGACAAAGAGGAAGAAAGATGTGCAGTTGTTTTAACACATATCAGGGGTATTTGTTCATTTTGTCTCTTTCTCTCTCTGAATATCTCTGGATCCTATTCCGGGTTTTGTTAGCATGCGAGTGTTAAAGATCTATAAACAAGCATCTTATTTCAGGGGCGAAGGGATCTTAGCTATTGTAGCTACTGTTTGATTTTATTTTTGGACGTGTTTATATAACTCAATATTTTTTCTCTTTCACATACGTGAGGTGAAATTCATTTAATCAGCAGAAGGTCATTAATCAGGCATTGTGCTGCTGAAGTACAGGGGTGGGACGGTTGGGAAGGTCAAATCCAGTCTCCCCAAACTGGGGTCTGATGCCACAGAACAGCCCCTGTGGCCAATAAGGGAGAGGAAGGGATAGCTGTAGTCATGCCAACACACTTGTGTGTTTTATAACAGCCACGGTTATCTGCAATCTCCTCTGGTCTGCTGCCTTTGCATCAACTATGTGCTAGCACAAATATTACCCCTCCAGTGCACTTGGGTTACAAATGGCCCTCCCTGTTTTGCTGGTGACTCCTTCACCTCAGGACTTAAGCAGCGTGGAAGTTTTTGTGCAGGTCCAGCTCAA